GGATTGTTTTGTGATTTTGGCCCGTGATTTTTTTTATCACAATTGGAGGTGCTCCAATTGTGATTTTTCTATGTTAAATCGTTGTGTCGATTTATTTTTTATTGTTTGATTGTGATTATTATTTATTGTTTAAAAATTGAAATATAATTACAAATCGCAATCTTGGAAATTTTTAGATTTTTCATAATTGTTTCTTATTTTTCAATGATTCATTACACTGAACTATTTATACAAACATATACATACACAAACAAATCTATGTATCTAGTTATGGCCTCGATTGGGAATAGACTATTTTAGTTAGCTATTTGACTTTTTGCTATTTTAGCCCAATTAAAATAATTGTGTTTGGGATGATAGTTGATTTTGATTTTTTTTAGTTGATTTGATGGTTGTGAAAGAAGAAATGAAATGATTATAAGTTAGATATGACATTTTATCTTATCACCTATTTTAATTTATTTTATTTTTATTGACTATTTTAGCTTCTAGCCTCTAGCCCAACAAGGCATTAACTCATAACAAACTTACTAATCTTTGCTTAATATCTATATGATGCATCGTGCATATGCAGGTATAACTGTTTGCCAAGGCTGCAACTGTTGTTGATGTGGCTGCAGCCTACTCTGCTTTGTATCTGAGGAGCTGATGATCCTAAAGTTGTGACCGCAGCTTACTTTGATATAGTAATCTTATCAAAGGGGCTTTTTGAGATTTATATTTATTATAATTTTTTTTCTTATTTTTTGAAAATTATATCTCTCCTCTAAGGTTTAAAGTTTTATTACAGATTTTTCGTTCAGCAATTTAATTTTTTTAAATATCAATTTTGCCTTTATTGGGTAAATTACATTGATACCCCTCATATTTTAAAAATTACAATCCTCTCTCTAAGGTTTAAAGTACCATTACCAATTGCCCCCTCGGTTAGTATTAGTTGGAAAAAAAAATTCATTGAAAAAAAAATTATTTCAAAAAAAAATTAATTGAAAAAAAATTTTGTTAGTAAAGTTTTTAAATTTCTGTTTAAAAACCAACGTAAACTCATTTTTTGAAATTACGTTTTTTTCTCAAATTTACAAACTGAGACAATCATTTATAAACCAAAAAAATTATCAAACAAGTTTTTATAACAGTTTTTAAAATTTTTGTAAATATAAATTGAAAACTGAAAACGAAATGGTTACCAAACAGGCTTGATGGTAAAAATGTCGTAAAATTAACAAATAATTAAATAAGTTACCAATGTAAGAAATGACTTATCAAAAGATTCTTAGGCTATGTATAGTTTGATTTTTAAAAAAAAATTAAAAAATTAAAAATTTTAGTAACCATTTTGTTTTCAGTTTTCAATTTATATTTATAAAAATTTTAAAAACTGTCATAAAAACTTATTTGATAATTTTTTTGGTTTATAAATGGTTGTCTCAATTTGTAAATTTGAAGAAAAAACGTAAATTCAAAAAATGAGGTTACGTTGGTTTTTAAACAGAAATTTAAAAACTTTACTAACAAAAAAAAATTTCAATTAATTTTTTTTTAATTAATTTTTTTCCCAACTAATACTAACCGAGGGGGCAATTGGTAATGCTACCTTAAACCTTAGGGAAGGGATTGTAATTTCTAAAATGTGAGGAGTGTCAATGTAATTTATCCAATGAGGGAAAAATTGGTATTTAAAAAAATTAAATTGTTGAAGAGGGAATTTGTAATGAAACTTTAAACCTCAAGGGAGAAAATGTAATTTCTAAAAGGTGAAGGGGGGAATTGTAATAAACATAAAGCTCAGGGGGTGTCAGTGTAATTTACCCCTGTATTATTTTTATCTCAACCACAATTAGGCTTCGTTTGAAAGGTAGTGTTTTAGTCTAAAAATTAAAAAAAATCAAAAATTTTATAATTTATACTAAAAGTTAAAGATTTTTTTTTCTCTACTTTTTGTACATCTTTTTATAAAAAATTAAAAATTTATTCCAAATATAATAATTTTTTTACCACATATTGTAATTAAAAAATTAAAAAAATTACTAAAAAAGTATGTTCTCAAACGAAGCTTTAAAAAATGAAATATTCTATCCGATTATCATTACACGTGGCATCAACACGTTGATTACTTATTCTTTAAATGTGTTAAAAAAAAAAAAAAAAAAAAAAAAAAAAAAAAAAAAAAAAAAACCCTATAAATGAGAAACTCATCCCATAATTAAAAAACGTGTAAATTTGAGTGATAAGAATGTTTTTCACTCTTAAAATTAACCATTGTCCTTTCACACATTTTACTTGCTTCACTCTTCACCCTGGACTGTTCCCTCATCTTATCTGTAATTTTCACAGCTCTAATACTACTTGGTGCACTATCTCCATTTGGAACCGCACACATTTTATTTTATTCTTGACGTGCAAAATTAATAACTTAGCCTTTGTTTGGTATCCAGCTAAGAAGGATCTACATTATTATTATTATTTGAATTTGAATTTGAATTTATATTAAAAATTTTATTTTTCTAATCCATCTAGTATAGAAAAATCCACTGACCATAAATAAATAAATAAAATCAATAGAAAGTCACTAAAAAAAATAAATCACAAACGATCCCATTATCACATATAAAAGTGAATTCCACTAATTAAACACAAGTTGATCAAGTCCTCTTCTTTGTTTTTAGTTTTTATTTTATTTTATTTTTTAGACAAATTACATTGACCTCTCCACAAAAAGTGCACTTATTTAGGTCATCCCAAACAACCCCTTAGCCTTTGTTTGGTATACAGCTAAGAAGGATATACATTATTATTGTTATTATTAATTGAATTTGAATTTATATTAAAATTTTTATTTTTCTAATCCATCTAGTATAGAAAAATCCACTGACCATAAAAAAATAAATAAATAAATAAAATCAATAGAAAGTCACCAAAAAAATAAATCACAAACGATCCCATTATCACATATAAAAGTGAATTCCACTAATTAAACACAAGTTGATCAAGTCCTCTTCTTTGTTTTTAGTTTTTATTTTATTTTATTTTTTAGACAAATTACATTGACCTCTCCTAAGATTTAGAAAAAAATGTAATAAGTCTTACAAGTTTAGTATAATTATATTAGACTCTTTTTCGGTTTCAATTTATATAATATTTGGCTCGATATTCATGAGAAATTTGTTAGCCGTATGAATGAAAAAAAAGTATATTATCATATCTTATACATTGAAATATATATTTTACCATGTGTATTTTTGTATTTTCATACCATTCACATTAATTTTGGTCATTTTAACCTTACTTAAAAAGAAATTAATGTAATTATGTCAAAATTATAGTATTTGTTGTATTTTTTTCAAATCTTAAAGACAATCAATGTAATTTACATTCTATTTTTATTGTGGAGAGTTTGAGTGAGGAGAAGTTATTTGGCTGTTTTAAAACATTGCTCTACATAATTCATATTTGAACGAATACCTTTTTGTCTCTTTAAATGAAACAAATAGATAATAAAATCAATTATTTTAAATAATAATATTTAAATTAAGATGCGACCTGAATTTAATCCAAGAGCAAATTCTATTATTTCTCGGGAGTGAGAGTGTAATTGTAGATCAAATCCATCAAGTAATTACTTTGATGTGCCCCTTCGTAGCTATCCCCTATTTGTGGGAATTTTGAATTGTTCGATAATCACCACCAGATTCTTTGATGTCCCATTTCTTCTTTATTCCTATGTCAGACCAATCCAACTTAATCCATAAAAATGAAAAAAGTGCTTAACCATTTATTAATAAAATTAAACTACGAACAAGTAATTAAAACACTAAAATTATAAAAATGTAAAACATCAACCTCACGAGGCTAATCTTTTAATAAAAGTAATGAAAAATATTAATGAATTAAGATGCCTTTAATGGGCAATGAAAAATATCAATGAAGCAATATGCTTCTAATGGGCCTATCATGTTAGCATGTATATTTTATTTTTTTGTGATATAATTATGTGCATAGATGAGTTTTTTTTTTTTAATATTTCAAAAAAATATATATTATTTAGAGAATTGGCTCACTTTTCAAACTATTTGAAAAATTAACTTGCTTTTGAAATTGCATGTTAAACATGTAATTTCACCATGTCATCACAAATTACATTTTCAACCTCCGATTTTAAGGTAAAATTACATGTTGAAAATGTAATTTTAATTTCAAAATCACATTTTGAAAATGCGATTTCAAAAAACAAGTTAGTTTCTCATATAGTTTGAAAAGTTTGAAATCGTATGTTGAAAATGCGAATTCAATTGAAATAGCATGTTGAACATGCGATTTCACCATGTCATCATAAATTACATTTTTAACTTGCGATTTCAAGATGAAATGCATGTTAAAAATGTAATTTTAATTTCAAAATTACATTTTGAAAATACGATTTCAAAAAATAGATTAATTTCTCAAATAGTTTAAAAAGTTAATCGATTCTCTAAATAGTTTTTTTTTTACAATATTAAAAAAAAAAAAAAAAAAAAAAAAAAAAAAAACTCGTGCATAGACTATGTAACCCATGTATTAGGCCCGCCACGTAACGTCATGCAAATCATGAGAACAGGGGATTATGATATATAACCAAACAGTATTCAGTCACTCTTTTAATTTACTAACGCCTTAAGTTTCGCTACAAAAGGATCTATAAGCCCTTTATGCTTGATTTAAAAAAAAAAAAAAAAAGCGAACGACCAATGAATAACAATAGTCATTGGCGCGTGATCATAGACGTTCTTACCCGTTTGGAGGCGTGAGGCGTCCAGAGTTCCGGGCTCCACTAAAAAAGAGAAAAGTTAGGGATTATGAAAAAATTTTCATGAAAATAATTATGAAAAATTTATGATTCTTAGATTACCTTAATTAATGTGTGGTGGTTTATTCTAAGTGTAATCCAAGGATCACAAAACTTTCATGATTATTTTCATGAAAATACCTAACATTGCTGCTTAAAAAAAAGTACTCCTTTACTCTTTACGATCAAAAGTCTCTCTATTTCGGATTTTGTTATTTCCATGTACTACAACTAGCATCAACGATGAATAGCACCAAAAAGGGCCGCCCCGACTCTAGGTGCATAGCTTGAAACGTCGGAGTAATTAGGATAGAAAGCCCTACAAAGCTCATTATATTTTTCAACATTGAAATTTTGAGACTCCATGAGCTTCTTTTGCTTCACTTTGAAACGGCGTTGGAAGTACCCTTCGAAAGAGGGTTCTTTCGATGTCCTGAGGAAGAAGGCGTAGGCTAGCACGAAGTGAAGCGAGGTCAAGAAGAAGCAAATGGGCTCCATCACATCCCAATCCAATTCCCAGAAGGTGAGCCTCATCAAACCCAGTATCTGCAGTACTGTGAAGCCCAGCCCACAGCAGAGTTCCCCTTGGACCTGTTGTTGGGCTTTCCTGTCAATTTCTGCCTTTTGCTTCTCCATCTGTTCAAGTTCTTTCCTTCTTGGGTCATTTGGGGTGGCTATGGAAGTAGCAATTAACTTCTCCATTGATTTTGCAACCTGCAATCAAACTCAACAATAGTTAGAATCAAATTCAAATAAATAACAAAATTAAAATATGTGAATTGGTCGCCCTAATGGTTTTATGTATTACAAAAAAAAAAAGAGAGTGAAAATTATCAGTCTTACAATTATTCAAAAAGCTACTCACACATGCAAACAGATACTTAGGCTAGTTTGGCATAATATAAAAAATTTAAAAATTTAAAAAGTCATTATCCTATTTAAGTGCTCATTTAAATCGCATCATCTCTTTATCACATCATTTCAAACTCAATCCATATTTCATATTTTTTTTTGTAAAAAGTCAAAAAGTATACTTATTTAGATCATCTCAAACAACCCAATTCACCACTAGTGATTTAAAGTTGTCTTTTATGGTTTTGAGTTACACATTAAAATAAATTTTATTTTATTAACTTTAAAAAAAAAAATTGACCTTCAACAGTAAATGCATTTTAATACTTTTTGTTGTTAATAGTTCAAATGACAAATTAAGTGAGTTGAACACATTTTTTTTTTTTTGGTGCGAATATTCCATGATTGCATTAAACATGCAAGCAGATCAGCATATTCATATTTGCATGGAGTATACAATCTTATCTGAATGGTTCCCATTTAATAATTTTTATACTGTGTTGGGTTTGTAAATTTAATGAATGATTAAAGAAAAAAGTGAAATGTATATAACATTTTATACACTTTTTCTTTTTATTTTGAATAATGTTATATGTATTAATTGATATACTAATTAGTATATCAATTAATCATATGACAAAATTTTAAAAAAAATTTAAATTTTTAATGTGATTAATAAGTGAAGTCAATAATAATATTATAACTAATGTTAATACACTAATTAATATATTAATCGATACATATAACACCACTATTTTATTTTTCACATTCGTACACCAAACATAACATTAGCAGACAACAATGATTCATCCCGTTAAAAATATCACCACTAATAACATAATGCATTAAAAAAATAAAAAAAAAATAAATAAAATACAACTCCAAGACCAAAACATCATTAATGACGGAACCCACTGCCACTTAATTAATAGACCACTAATTAGTGCTCCCCAAGCATTTTTGCATGAGCAAATTGCAAAAAAGAGAGGAATAAAAGACGCAATTATAACCCCACATATGGATGGCTCCATATTTTCCGGACGGCGAAGGGTACCTCTGTAATTATTGACGATCCGGATGGCCAATTTCGTCTTTTAAAACAAAACGCCAAAATTAAACAGAGAAACAGAAAAGAAGTGTCCGATCACAGAGTTGCCGGACAAAAAACGGAGCTCGGATGGGCAAAATACCTGTTCAGGCCGAACGAACACGACGTTGCCCAAAACGATGACGTTTCCAGACTCATCCAACTTCTTCGCAAACTCTACACCTTGCTCTCGATTCAAACAAACATCAACGCACATCTGAACGTACTCAGAGTAAGAAATCGAGTTCATCGGAATCTGTCTCAGCGCGGATCTCACCTTCTCCATCTGCGTACACTTCAAAATCTTCTTCGCATCCATCACCGAAATTCCTTCCACCGTATCGGACACTATCGGAGGAGCGAGTCCGTCGAACCGGAGACGGTTTCCGGCGACATTCATCGACCTCAGTTTCTCCTTCAGCTTGTCGCCCACCGGAATCGAGAGGAACTCCGGTAGCCTCGCCGACTGGTTTAATCCCCGCCGCTGGAGGAATCGCCGGAAAAATCCGCAGTCGGCGGAGTCCGGGGAGGTGAGGAATTCGCGGTGGAAGTTAGTTTTGGCGGCATTTGGAGGAGTTAGGGTTGACTGGAAATAGGGAGAGGAGATCGGTGAATGCTCAAGGGTTGCTAATGGGGAGGACTCTCTGTTTTTGGTGAAGAGACGCTGCGCTAATGCTCTTCGAAGCGCCATTGATGAGCTCAATACAGAGGCTTTAAGGTAGAGAAAGCTAAGCGCGAGAGAGAGAGCTCCGATGATTCATTAGAGGTGAAAGGCTTTATATAGGAGTCAAGTCAGAGAATCTCTCTTTGTAATCGCGAGATATCTTCAAATGTCCATGTGTATGCGAGGAATGAATCGGCTATGAGAAATTGAAAAGTTTTGAGTGACGTATATATGTTAACATATTGCTTAAAACTAAAAAAGTTGTATTTGTAATGATATTTGTTTGTTTTTTTTTTCTTTCCTTTTTTTTTTTGTTTTTTTTTTTATAATTGATTTTATAATTGTGAGAGAAAACATAAAATAGTTATGATTTAAATGTAATATTTTATTTTATTGACTACTTTAACTTATTTTAATCAAAAAAAAAAAAACCGCTAACCGAACTTTTCAAGCATCCACTAATAGATTATTCAAATTATGTTTGAAATTTAAAAAACAAAAAGTTTTTAATTATTTTTAAATTTGTCTTATTTGCATAAAGAATTAATTTCAAATAAATTTTTGATAAGTTGATTTTTGTAGTACATATACTCATCATGCGAGTGATGACTTGTTCAAATTTAAATTGAAAACTTAGGTCTCGTTTAGGAACATACTATTTTAGTAACTTTTTAATTTTTTGGCTAAAATATAAGGTAAAAAAACTAGTATGTTTGGGATGACTTTTTGACTTTTTACGAAAAAATGTGTAAAAAGTAGAGAGAAAATGAAATATTTGACTTTTTTGTATAAGTTATTGACTTTTTAATTTTTTTACTAACTTTTTTGACTTTTAAATTAAAACAGTTACTTGCCAAACGAGACTTTAATGTACTTAAAATTGTATTCAATTTTGGTTTGTTTAACTAAGAGTGCTCTCAAACAAATTTTTATCAAACTTATGAGTCATACTTCAGCAATTTGGTTCATTTAGGCACCGTTTGGGAAGGAAAAGTCGGGCTAATTTAGCCACGTCCCGACAAATTAGGCTGTTTCAGCCACGTCCCGACAAAATGGAATTCACGAGTATTTTGAAACCCTTAGTGGTGTAAATTTACCAAAATGCCCCGAAGACAACCCTCTTCAATCTGAGGGACAACGCCTCATCCAAACCCAACACACACCCATTGGAAAGCTGAAGAGAAGAACAACCGAGCTATCCCATTCGGAAAGACTAGCGGCGACGAGGACATCTGACCGACCTTCGCAGAGGTAATCGCCACCGAAGTATGCATGTAACGCCCTCAAAATCAACCCATTATATATATATATCATTGACATGCATTATTTAAAGAAAACAATTTATTAATTCATTCATCAGAGTATTACTAAATAAAAGCTTTACATGTAACATCGAATAAAATGCCCTACAGGCTTACATCTTTCCAAGCCAACACTTGGATACAAAAAGATGAGTTCTAACTCAATACAAGAAAAGCCCTAGGCTTGGATGTTTACATGTACTAATAAATAAAGACAATTAACTAAAGATAGTCTTCAAAATCCAAGTCCCTTCCAAGCTAAGTCCTTGGAGGTAGCTTATCACCTGAACCTGAAAATGATGTTCCCATATAGGGTGAGCCACAGCCCAGTAGAAATATACTAAACCACATATAAGCAATGAATAAAGCAATAGCATTCAACAGATGGTTAACCAAGATAATCAATTACTTCATTTTACAGTCTCATGACACTATTGTCTAACACACGTTTTACTTTCCAATTTTATCAACATGGCTCAGAACCTGGCCAAACTTACAACAGTGAATTACATATATCATAATCACATCCTTCCAATATCAACAAACAAATGAGACTAAGATAGAAACAAAGAGTAAAAGAGGCCAATGATATAAAAGTTATACCACAATTGAGATAGAGTAGAGAAAGAGAGAGCTGGCGACATTCTGAAGACTTACTTTACTTTTTTAAAGTGTAGATCTACACTTTTAAAATATAGATCTATAGTATTAGAGTGGAGATTTGAACTTTTTATGTCTAAAATAGAGGTTTTTAAAGTTTTCTCCTCCGATTTCAGTATATATTTTTTGATTTTTGACATCTACAATAGTTCCTTCATCTTTGAAATCTTCTCCCATATCATTGTGGGTGTATGTCCTTCTCAATTCTAACTTATGGCAGTGTTCGATATCCGGAGGTGACAGAGTTGGTTAGTAGTGACGAGAATGATGTCGATGGAGATGGTAGGTTTTCAAGCAAATCTTACTTTTCAAACCACATCTTTTAAAAGATCGGTGATTTTTCTTGAATAGTAACTATTTTTTGGGCGAATTCGTTTTTTGTTTTGTTGGAATGACCCTTCGGGATCCTATTTATATAATGTTGTTGTTTATTAATAATAATATTTTCTATGTTCTCAAAAAGATAAGTGATGTAGGCCGAAAGGTACCACATTTAGGCCACTTAGGTTACATTTTTCGTCTTTTAATTTTATTTATTTGGTGGAGATGATGTGTTTCGTGCACTTGTACAGATTTGATAGGAAATATGAAAATTCAATCAAAAGAGGGTGCGAAATCAGATTCTCCGAGCGAGACGTGAAAAATCCGAGTCCACCAGACCACCGCACGAGCGGCCAACCTAGGGACGCGTGCACAGACTTTTTGGTCTATTTTGCTCCGAATAAAAGACAGAAAATCAGTCACAGTTGGGTTCGAAAATTGAATACAGAAAGGAGGGAGGCTAGGGTTCCAAAGGGGGAGACACTACCAAAGCTTGGAAAACACTTCCATGGGGGCTTCTTCTTCATCTTCTTCCTCTTTCCACTCCTCCATGAGTGGCTAGTCGTCTTTTCTAGGGTTTTGATGAAACCCTAGCCATGTAATGGAATTTTTCACGAGCTTTCATTGTAACTTGGTTTGAATGAATGTATGGATGTTTTAGAAGTTTATAAATAATTGTTTCGTTCTTCTCTTCAAGCATTTTACTCTCTGTGATTGTTTAATGTTTTCCATACATTAGTATTCTTTGTGTTTGTATTCAAAGTACGAGACGAGTCATGCTATGAGAGACGGGTCGTTTTGCTAACATAGTTTAGAGCAAACGACTCGTACTACTCGGGATGATTCGTGCCAGTACATTGAATGCAACAACCCTCTTGATCAATATTTCAAACTTGTAGTTGTGAAATATTGGATAATTCAAACCGAATTGCGATTGATAGTTGATGTTAAGTCTCATTCATGTGGTTAGTGGTGAATTCTCTTATATGTCAGTAAAATTTTTATTAAACATATATTAAAAAAATAGATTATTACAAAATATATTAACAATATATGCACAAATCTAATAAAAAATATATTCGAAAATATATTTCCAATATACCTAAATTCAAGATGCACAATACTTTTACAAACAATCTAGTTCGTTCATGGAATAAAATATAAAATTGCGTTAGTCTTTGTATGTGTTCATGTTGATTCATGTAAATTTAATTGCAATTTAAAGCGTAGCATGGCGTCGTTCACCTCTATTGCAACTTCCAGTACATGGCCACGTCGAATGTGTGCCTGTGGACATGGCCCCTGTATTGTTAAGATTTCCAGGTCCACCAAAAATCCAGGGCGTCCCTACTTTGTCTGTCCCCGCCCTGTGGTGAGTGACCCATTCTTTACCGATCATAACTGTATGAACATTAACAACCCATGAAACTAATAGTTCCATAATTTCCACTCATCAACCCTGTGTCAGTTGGATTGGTTGGTGTGAAGAAGGAAGGCGAGAGAACCAAGACTATGCGTCACCCGGAGATGAAATTGCCATGCAATTGCGGGCTGATGTCATAGACATTCAACAATCCTTGCGTGTCCTTAAGACCATTGTGTATGTGCTCTGCATTGTCGTTGTCATTTTGTTGTGCCGTATGTAAGCACCGTTACCATGTTGTCAGTATGTAGAAACACCTTAGTATGTTGTCAGTATGTTGTTAGTATGTAGTTAGTATGTTTGTAGTATGTTGGTAGTATGTTGTCGCATATGGGAGCCTATTACTAACTATCATATTTTTGTCCACTACTAACTTCCATGGAACCTGTGTACGTACGTTATTAATGTGCAATGGTTATATGCAAATTTAACTTTAGCATCCTATATCTCTGTTTGTTGTTATTAATGTGTCATGGCTTATGCGTGTGTATATAACAACCGAATTTGTGATGGTAATCTTTTGTAACCGTACATTAGTAATGGCTTCCACACGTACTTCTCCGTGTAACCAATCGAAAAGCAAATGCGTTGTCACTGACAAGCCAAGCAGTCTTGAAGAGACACATAATCAGTTCAGCCACAAGGCCTCATGGGACAGTAACTCAATCCAAGTTTTCCTGCAGTTGATTGCAAATGAGATTAGTAAAGGAAATCGCCCATTCCTAGTCCTTAGCCAAGCAGGGTACAAGTCGTTGGCAAGGAAATTTGAGAAAAAAACATGAAGAAAACATGGACTGAAACAGTTGAAGAATAAGTACATGAGCTTGAAAAAAGAGTGGCAAGCGTGGACAAAATTGATGGATTCAAGCAAATGAGTGTCCGGGATAGGCTTTGACTGTGACACCGATTTGTTTCAGGCACCTGAGGAGTGGTGGGACAAGATGGAATCAGTAAATACATGTACAAACAGGTTTTATATTTGTCATTAACCAGTACATTTTTGACTTGTTCAGTTAAGTTTTAATTAATTATATGAAATGTAACGTCTTCCTCTTTCATATATCTCTATTTCTGCAAATCAACAAGGTGTGTGCGAAGTTCAGGAAAAAAACCTTGGAACACCGTGACTTGATGGAGACGGTCTTCATGGGGGCATCAGCTACTAGGAAGCACCATTGGACTCCGGGAGAGAAACTTCCTAAAGCTGCTGATGACTCATCTGATTCAGTGCGTAGTTTGGGAGCCCAACCATTTGCTGATCCGATACCTGCAGGAGTACAGGACGTGGATTCAGATTTTTCACTGGAGCATGTTCCGATTGAAAAAGGGAAAAGGAGAAAGACGCTATCAACAAGTGTTTCAAAGTTGAAGAAGGCAATAAGTGGTGCGTCAGTTATTGC